CACACACACGCACACACACACACACACACATACACACATACGCACACACACACACACACACATACACACACACGCACACACACTCCTGATGAGTCGGTGAAAGTCCGACGAAACAGTCTGGCACAGTGATGTTTTTTTTGAGTGTATAGTGAATGACAACACACACACACACACACACACACACACACAACACACACACACACACACACATACGCACTCAGAGAGAGGGGTGTTGTACACTGAGAGGCGTGCGGAAGGGGAAGAGTTTCCTTTCACAATCTGGCCAGAAAAAGAAATAGGTGGATTCCGCCGGCATGGCGAAGTGTAGCCTCTCTCCCTGCCTTCCTCTCTCTGTCTCTCTCTCTCTGTCTCTCTCTGTCTCTCTCTCTCTCTCTCCCTCTGCCTAACTCCCTCTCTCTTTCATCGCTGTGCGTGAAGAGCTGGAGAGTTCCGTTCACACTGGATTCGCCCGACGCGGCGAAGTGCACCCTCTGTTTTTCTCTCTCTCTCTCTGTGACCGCACCTCCCTCCTACGTCCCCCCTTCGCTTAGGGCTACCCATCCATCCATTCGTTTAGTGCTGCAACTCCATTTCTGTGGGGGTTGTATGTTGCAAGCGGGATGGGATTTATGAACGATCCGAAGGTTACGGACAGGCAGGGGGAAAAAGGACCATCAGGTTGAGGTGGAGGTCAGGTTCCTGGTCAGGCAGGGAGGAGGAGGTCGCCGTCGAAATCCCGAGGAACTGGAGTAGCAGGAAAAGAACGAAGGGGGAGGGTGATGATGCGGGATCAGGAGGGTGAGAGCGACAGAAAGAGGAAGAGAGGAAAGGACATAACAGACCAGGAAGGGCCACATCGAGTATCGGAGGAGTTGGACCTCGAAGAGAGAGGATTGCATCTGAGCAAAGAAAGGCACGGAGAAAGAAGGGAACGGGGAGGCGACCGACGCAGGACAAGTAGAGAAGAGGATGGGAAATTTAAAGCGGATTGCTGGGGGAGAGATCGAGAGGGGGAATGGAGGGCGCATGGGGAAAGGCGGAAGGGAGGCACTGAAGAAGGAAGAAAGGGACAATTGCGAGTGGGTAGGCGAGAAGGACGGGAAGAGAAAGGTGACCGACCCAGGACAAAGAGAGGAGGATGGGAAAAGCAAATTGGTGGGGGAAAGACAGGAAGGGGGAATGGYAGGCACAAGCTCTAAGCTGGGATCGGGACAGACGGAAGGGAGGCGGCATTGGAGAAGGGAAAAAGGCGAGTGGGGCGGGGAAAATATGAGTGTGTGTGTGTGTCTCAGAGAGAGAGAGAGAGAGAGAGAGAGAGAGAGAGAGAGAGAGAGAGAGAGAGAGAGAGAGAGAGAGAGAGAGAGAGAAGGTGGGGGGGGGCGCATGAGAGGGCATTTGATTGTCGTTAGTGACCGGACGCACCCCCTGGAGCGAGAAAGGGAGGGATGGRGAGGGAGAATAGCAAGAGAACGGGAAGAGCGAGGGAGGAAGAGACGGTCAGAGGGGCAGGGCAGAGAGAGATCCCAGTGGAATAGTAATCTTGGGGCCACTATCTTTCTCTTCATGTACGCACGCCCGTGCTCACTCCCAAGTCCCGCCCTAAATGATTCTAAAAAATGATGACCAAGTATTGTGTGATAGCACTACATCCTCCTTTGAGCGCGTCTTCTCTGTGTCTGCTGCTATGATGTGGTCTCTTCACGTCCGGTCGCGCTTCGCGATCTGTTTCTTGAGACTGTGTATCCCTGTTTGGAGATGGCGAACCCCACCGGACTCTCTTTTTTTTTTTTTTTTTTTTTAATCGTATGTCTAATTTTTGTTTTGTTGGTGTCCTGTTCCTTCAACTTCCTTGTGATTGCTTTTTTTTTTTTTTTTAAACCATAATTAATGCTTGTTTTGTTGCTGTCCTGTTCTTTGTCATTGCTTGGTTCCCTGCACGCTGGTATCAGCCTCGGTCGGTAGCATTTCGGACCTGTTTTGCGATGGCGAACCCCACCGGACTTTTGTTGATCGCATTGATCGCCACGTCAGCGCTAAGCTGGACGACCACGACCGTGGATGCGGAGCCCATAAAGCTGAGCAATGCCGACTTCGACGAGCATGTGCAGGAGGATGGCAAAATTTGGTTCATTAAGTTCTTCGCCCCGTGGTGTGGGCATTGTAAGAGATTGGTGCCAGCCTGGGCGGAGCTGGATGAGACGATGGCTGGAGATGACACGTGGCGGATTGCCCATGTCGACTGTACGACGAATAAGGAAGTCTGCACCAAGCACGAGATTAGGGGATACCCTACACTCAAGGTTTTCCATAACGGGAAAGAGTTCAGGCGATACACCGGCGCTCGTGATGTCGAGTCTCTGAAGACCTTCATCAACACCGTCACACACGATTTGTGGCAGGCTGAGGGTGAAGCTGCTGCCCATGACGAGGCCTAGACAAGGGGGGAGAGAGAGAGAGAGAGAGAGAGAGAGAGAGAGAGAGAGAGAGAGAGAGAGAGTTCCAATATTGGACAACACGTGCGAGGCTTTACTTTCACAGAATACACGTGTCCTGTCCGTGGCTTGCGACAGAAAAGTCGCGACTACCCTTCTACCGAGAGAGAGAGAGAGAGAGAGAGAGAGAGAGAGAGAGAGAGAGAGAGAGAGAGGGTCCGAGAGAGAGAGAGAGAGAGAGAGAGAGAGAGGGTCCGTTTGGCATAAATTTATCTGCGGATCTACTGTTTTTTACAGTTGCATGGATTCGATTGGTTGACATTGTGTGCGTAGGGAGTGGATAAGGAAGGGGAGGAAAAAAGGAGGTGAGGAAGATGGGAGGAAAAGAGGATTTTTTACTGTTGTGTGGATTTGCTTCTGGTGTAATTTGATTTGTTGTGTGATGTCGAGTTTGTGGGGGAGAAAGCAGCTGAAAGCTCACGGCCATCGTTTTCCCTTGTTGTTGGAACCTGCTGATCCTGCACTCGGCTGGAGATGGTAGAGCTGGAAGTAGGGGGTGTAGAAGGGTGGAATGGTTCAGATATGGTTACTAGGTGGTTTCATTTTCGGCGAATTTTTCACAGAAACTGCCATATTTCCCCGAATTGGTGTTTTTTTTTTGTTTTTTTTGTGATATGTATGTGCTTTAGGGTTTCGGCAATTTTTTCACAGAAACTGCCATATTTCCCCGCATTGTTTTTTTTTTTTTTTTTTTTTTGTGACATGTATGTGCTTTAGGGTATAATATCTGTATTCAGTTTCGATGCATTTGGACCGAATTCGGAAAAAAAATTGGCAGAAACACCGAATTCGGGAAAAAAATTGGCAAAAACTCCGACAGCTACTCCGAATGGGGTGTTATAGTGCTTTTTACCAAGTTTTTAGTTTTTTTTTGTTTTTTCGTTTTTTAATTTTTTTTGCCTGTTTGTTTTTTTGATGTTAGTATTATGAGCCTGCATTATTGTTTGTTCGTGAAATTTTTGACGACATTTCTTCTGGTGGTGCGGCGAAAAAACCCGAAATTTTGGTCTCCCTCTCTAACCATCTCTCGAGTGGTTGGCAACGCCTGCACAAAGCGGCGGCATGTCTTACAATGATCCGTTTGCTGTTGAGCTCGTTTCTCTTTTTGCTAATGTTTTTTCACGTTGTACTCTGCTCAGATAGTGGTTTTTCACGTTGAGCTCGTTTCTCTTTTCAAGGCACACTAACAGCAGTCCTCCTCCTCCTGGGGGTATCAAAGTCGTCTGCGAGAACTTGAAAAGCCCATCAAGTTTTCTGCCCTTGTATTAGGTAAACGCATACTCTCGAGTTAGATAAGCGGATACTGATCAGTTTGGTAAGCGCACACTCTTGACTTATGTAAGCTATCACTCTTGGCTTCTGAAAGCCCTCAGTCTTGAGTTCCGTGAGCGCGTGCTGAGTTGTGTGAGCATGTGTTTTTGGGTTATATGATGCGCGTACTTCCTTGAGTTATGTGAGCGCGCACTCTTGAGTTATGGGAGCGCGTACTCTTTGAGTTAGGCGAGCACACAATCTTGAGGTAGGTGAGCGCATAGTCTGAGACTGAGTTAGGGGAGCGCGCATACTCTTGAGTTAAGGGAGCGTATACTGAGTTCCGTGAGCGCGTGCTGAGTTGTGTGAACATGTGGTCTTGGGTTATATGAGTGCGTACTTCCTTGAGTTATGTGAGCGCGCACTCTCGAGTTGTGGGACCGCGTACTCGTTGAGTTAGGCGAGCACACAATCTTGAGTTAGGTGAGCGCATAGTCTGAGACTGAGGAGTTAGGGGAGCGCGCATACTCTTGAGTTAAGGGAGCGCATACTCCTTAGCTGGAAAGACGCAGACTCTTGAGCTAGATAAGCGCATGCACTCGTGAGTTAGGTGAGCGAGATGAGCGTATATGTGAGCGCGCACTCTTGAGTTATGGGAGCGCGTACTCTGAGTTAAGGGAGCACACAATCTTGAGTCAGGTGAGCGCATAGTCTGAGACTGAGTTAGGGGAGCGCGCATACTCTCGAGTTACTCTTGAGCTAGATAAGTGCATACTCCTGAGTTAGGTGAGCGAGACGAGCACATATGTGAGCGTGCACTCTTGAGTTGTGGGACCGCGTACTCTTTGAGTTAGGCGAGCACACAATCTTGAGTTAGGTGAGCGCATAGTCTGAGACTGAGTTAGGGGAGCGCGCATACTCTCGAGCAAGCAAGGCGCAGACTTGAGCGCATACTACTCTTGAGTTAGGGGAGCGCATGCATACTGCTTAGTTATAAAGCCGCAGACTCTTGAGCTAGATATAAGCGCATGCGCTCGTGAGTTAGGTGAGCGAGATGAGCGCATATTCTCGAGCAACAAAAAAAAAAAAGAAGCGTGTATACTCTTGAGTTACATAAGCCCATTCTCTGAGTTAGGTGTAGGTAGATAAGCCCATTCTCTGAGTTAGGTGTACGTAGATAAGCCCATTCTCTGAGTTAGGTGATCCCCCCCCCGCATCAAATCATCGGGGGGGTTATCATCAGCATGCCGTTACCTAATATGGGTGTGTGCTTAACTAATATGAGTGTGTGCTTACGTGGTTCGCCATACGCACTTAATATAGTAAGGGTCGCCAAGCGCTTGCATAATATAGGGTCTCGCCGCACGGCACACGAAACGAAAACGAAAGGAGTGCATCTGCCCGCGAAAGGCTGCAAAATACACTCGTTACTATTTATAGCAAACCGACGAACCTGGCCACTTTCTGCAGGAAGATTCACTCGTTTCGTTTTTCGTTTCGTGTCCCGTGCAGTGCCGTCCATAGTATGCGCTTCTCTCGACGACCTCACTGTCCGGTGAAGGCTGCTGACGGTGATTCTACTGCAGTTTATTTTTTGGGAAAATTGCATCTGTACCCCCACTTAAAGATGGGAATACCGGGTATATACCCCCAGTCCTAGCGGCAACTTGCGTCTATACCTAGAAAACGGCTGCTGGAAATTGTTTGCATGATGAGGGTCGATGTGGACCCAGGTTGGTACTGCAAAATCGCGGTTATAACCAACTACTGGAATGCACAAATTATGGACATACCCAGGCGAGATTATGGGCATACCCAGGACCTGATGAGGAGGAGAGGGCAAATTGCTCATCTACCCTGCTACCGGATGGCAGAAGTTATGCTCATACCCAGCAGCCGTGTTACAAGGGTATACTTGGTGGGCATGAGCATAATTTGCTGCTCTGAATCCGGGCCTGCTGGAATGGGTACGCTTACAGTTTCGCACAGGGAAAAGCTGGCGGTACTATGCAAAGTTGAACGCCCTCTGGGGGTATAGCTGCAAGTTCGCACTGGGACTGGGCATAGCAGGTATTCCCATCTTTTAGTGGGGTACAGATGCAGTTTTTCCTTCTTTTTGAGCGATCGAGCCCTCTCTAGCCACTACTTCGCTACGGTAGTTTTCTCCTCATCTGTACTTGCCTTTGTACGCATTGGAGTTCTCCCGTGTTGAGGGGATACCCACACATGATTGCTGTATTGGATGTATTTGGTCTCTTTTCCAGTCAGGTCTGGATGCACCTGACTGCAATTTCGTCCAAAGCGAAGTTGGAAATGTCTTTTGCCCTCATTGCTCCGATCTTCGTCTCTATTGTTCTATTCTATCTTGTTTAGTATCCATTTCTAGTAGGCGTTTTTTTTTTTTATTTTTTTTTTTATGTTGTTGTTGTTTTTGTTCTCCTGCCGCTGTATGCTTTGTCCATCAAGTTTTTTTTTTTTTTTTWTTGTTTCCCTCCCTTCACCAGTTTTGCCATTGAGCTTTTATAACCTCGGCTCAGTGGGTACACCCATGAACTGTAAAAACCTGAAAATTGGAGTACTCGTAGATTTTGTTGTGATCTTTCCAGGAAAAACGCTAAATAAATTAAAAAAAATCATTCCAACTGCAAAATAGATCGCGGCCGCAATTTGACCCATATTTCAATTTTGCCATTCAGTCTCTCTCTCTCTCTCTCTCTCTCACTTGTATCAACAAACGGAACAAAACTCTCTCTCTCTCTCTCTCTCTCTCTCTCTCTCTCTCTCTCTCTCTCTCTCTCTCTTTCTCTTTCTCTCTCTCTACATTAATCCCCCCCCCCCCCCCCTCTCTCTCTCTCTCTGGCCCGCCCCCCCCCCCCTCTCTCTCTATTTCTTTCTCTCTCTCACACTCACAACAATAAATGGAACAAATCTCTCTCTCTCTCTCTCTCTCTCTCTCTCTCTCTCTCTCTCTCTCTCTCTCTCTCTTTCGTGTTAGCTCTTAGTCTCATTGATTTGGCTACCTTAGGGCTGCGTTCCCCGCGCCCACGCGGTAGACAATACAGTTCTGACAGTGTGGGTTCGGTATAGTATAGTTCTGACAGTATTGGTTCGGTATAGTATAGTTCTGACAGTGTTGGTTCGGTATAGTATAGTTCTGACAGTGTTTTTTTTTTCCCCCCTAAAAATATCATTATAATAATATAATCAGGTAAAAGGAGGCTGGGGGCCTCACAATTCCGGTATAGTATAGTTCTGAGTCTTCTGACAGTGTGGGTTCGGTATAGTATATTTTGACAGTGTGGGTTCGGTATAGTATAGTTCTGACAGTGTGGGTTCGGTATAGTATAGTTCTGTCAGTGTGGGACCTCTAGTAACTGTCGACAGTGTTTGATATGGACGGTGGGATGATGCATCCCACCTTTTATGGCAGGGAGCCTGAAGGCCCTCGTTTTGTTTTTTCATTGCGTTAGGGGTCCCGTCCCGTGCGAACTGGATGCAGAGGCAAGGCCCCCTAGTAAATACTAGGCCAAAAAAAATTGATAGTATACTACACAGCCTTGCTTCTCCCTCCGCTTGGCATGGGACACCGAAGCCAATGGAAAATCAATGAGAAAACGGAAGCCGGAGGGCTCCCTGCTGTCGATGGTTACTAAAGGTCCCCCACTGGCACAACTATACTCTCCTTATTTTCACCTTTTAATGTTAGAGTTCTTCCTACCCACAGGACAATCTTGACAGTCTTATCTTTATAATTAAATTAATGAATATTTAGGGACATGAAAAAAAAGGACTTGCCCCCCCCCAAAAAAAAGGACTCGCTTGAACGGTTTTGTTAGCAGCTGATAATCTTTTTTGGAACTGTGTGACGTTTTTTTATTTTTATTTTTATTTTTATTTTTTTAAAGCTAATTCTTTAAGGACTTTTTTTGTTGTCATTATAGTATTACAGGGAACCCCGTAGCAGCCACATCCGTGCTCAAGGCTCCAATGAGGGAACATGCGGGAGCTGCACCCACCAGCAGGTGTGATACCTGGTACAGCAGGTGGGCGATACCGGCCAGGGTTCAGCCGGGAGCATCAGGACCGAGCTTCTTCGAGGGTTCAGCCGGGAGCATCAGGACCGAGCTTCTTCGATGGGCCAGTCACTGTGCCTCCCCTCCAGTCCCTCCCCCTATGAACATCAGCAGGCTCTGCTCAATGCCACTCGGGGGGACCAACGACATATCTCTAGGTGGCGGGCACCAAGCTTGCCCAGGAAGGTGCATGAGGCCAATGGGGATTGAACCCAAGACCTCCTGAATGCCACTTGCGTGCCGTACCAACTGAGCTAGGCCG